CAATGGATAAGAAACTAATGATGACAGGAATAGACGAAGGTGCGTCTTTATTCAATGTACCTGGCATGGCAAGATAATGATTATTCAGGATGCAATCAAAAATATTTTGCTATTTATATAGAAGCACTTACAAAGTAGAAATTACGCACAAGGCATTTTTAGTTGAAAAGTGTAAAAGCGTTCCCAGTACTCGTAGAGAGAAAAAAAAAAAAAAATGTAAGAACTCTTTAAAATCTGAAAAACTGTAAAGTTAGTATTAGAAGATCTGACTAAAATTTACGCGCATGAGGAAGGCATGGGCAGCTGAAGGGGCTGCGCCCTCCCTTCCGAAATTGAACTTATATTGAAATATATTGAACTTATATTGAACGAAATTGAACTTATATTGAAATTATACTTCCGAAATTGAACAGTTTATAAATAGAATACAGTTACAAAAACATTGGTTTTAAATAAAAATCATAGTCCTCCCTTCCCTAGAAATTAAATCCTAGCTTCAGCCATGTAAATTCTCCTCAAATTATCCTCTGACACTCTGAATAACCGAATATATAGCAAAATTTACAAAAAAGATGCTATAAATGTAACGAAAAGAAGCATAAATCAAAAGATATTAAGCTTTTGAAAAATAAAAAAGCTTTTGAAAAATTTAAGATACCAAGTTTCATTTAAATATTTACAATCCTCCCCAAAAGTTTTGAATAAACTAAGTAAAGTACCTTTGAAATTAAACTCGCTGCCGTTGCGTAGCGAAGAAATTTGCTTTGCTGGCTGAGGTAGCGATTTCATCCAGTTTGACCAGTTATGGAGGATACACAATATTTACTGAAAAGACAAAAGCGTAAAAGATAAAAATGAAAGTTTAGGTTGTTTCAAATTTCTAATAGAATCTGGAAACATACACTTTTATCCGAGACTGCTTAGCTTAGAAACAGCAGCCGGTTTGATTTTTACTTTGTTGGCCGATTTATAAATTACTGTTACCGTGTGAAATCAATCTCGTCTAATTCCTGTTTTCTCTTTATTAAACAGACATCGTAATAGTTTAAATTTTGTATTGATAATTAAAATCTGAAAATCATGAATTTATCTAAAAACTAAAATAATAACTTCTGATTGCACCGGAACTAAATAACTTGTAAACTTCTACTATTTAGTATAGCTTTCTAAAAGCTGAAAAAAGTATTCAACTTTTTTATTCAATAGTTGTCATTGAATGAAGATAAAAATAAAAGATAATTTACTAACAACTTTTTTAAAAAATGCGGTTACTTTTAAGATTTTAGCTAGTTAAAATAAAAGGTAATTAAAGTTTCTCCTGTTCAAAAGGAATTTGTATTCACATGGCGTTGAATTTGGCAATCTCTTTTTCCTTTTCTATATATGAAAAAGCAAAATACCTATATTCATTATATCATTCTAATTGTTACTCATTTTAGATATTTTAAAATTTATGTGTTCTATTTTCAAAGATTCGTTGACTAAATACTTCTGAAAATATAATTTTAGTTTCTTTGATTTTTGTTGGTGAAAGTGAAAAATGCCAGTTTTGACATCTGAATGTGATCCTGGTTTGAATTAGCGAAGCCCGATTGGTAGAGCAAATAAAATGTTCAAACGATGAACAACTTCGAGTTCTATTTCAGATGAAGCAAGCTGACTGCATGTTTTCCTTCCTTTTTTTAAAACCATTTTTTGCTAAGTATAACTTGAATCGAAGCTAGTTCTTAAATTTTTCAGAAGGCTCTTGTCTCAAAATACACCTAGGTCGAAAGTCGTCTCGCTGGAAGTGTTGCCCCAAAATACAGTCTATCTAATAATCAAGCGAATTCTGAATATTGGCCTATATATATGTTTGATTACTTAAGCTTATACATATAATATATAAAATTATATCTGAATTAATTTTAAACGACATTTTTCTAATGTCTGTCTCGATTGTTTTTCAATCACTGATTGCTTATGACTTTTTATCTAATTAGTTAATGATTAGCAAATTACGACCCAAACTCATCTGATGACAGTATCCGGAAAATGACGTTTTAGATGATACGCCATTTAGGGGGGCCAATATGAGGGCTGAGGACCTACAGGGATATTTTTACTTACCACAAACTCATAACTGAAAATACAACGTAACAAGGCACATTGAGGTGATGCATCACCCCGTTGATTATTGGTTTCAAAAGCATGGTATGGTATATTTAACTACGGAAAAATCTCGAGGGCTATCTGCCTAAGGGGAGGTATGCCTTCGTGGAGGACTTTCTACGGGAAACTAGCTCGTATACACGTTACACATGGGGGAAACCACGAAAACGCCCATGCAGCCAGCCCGTTCGCCGAGATTTGAACCGAATGTCTTTAAAGATTTTCTCGGAGAAAAGTGTTGGTTCACTGTTTTGTCCAGAGGTACGAACTCTTTATAGACGAGTTCCGAAGTCATCGAAAAAGCAAATCAGCATAGTTTTAATCTTCGAATTGCTCATTCTTGCATTGTTTTGGTGAGTTTGAAATGTGTCATTCCTGGTTCTGACGCTTCGTTTCTGAATCGTAATGGAACACTCAAGACTCATTATCAGTAATGCCCCGTACTAGAAAATGAATATCGTTTTGATTTTGCTTTGTTCTTTTGTTCCCACGAAAGATTTTTTCAGAATATTTTTCGGACAGAGTTTTTTCATTCTCAGTTCCTTTGTCGAAATCTGATGAATGGTGGTGTGATTCAGTTCATACCTTCTCGATCATTCTGACTGAATAAAGCGAAAAAAAAGCACAAGATTCTGAGTTCTGGAAAGATTCTCTTTAGTTTCTTGCCGTTTCAAGCCTTTCCCAGTGAGTTTCGTCTTCAATCGATTCCTTTCTTTCTAAAAATGCCTTAAACCACTTTAAAACCTGGACCTTTGACAAAGCATTGTCTCCATACTTCTCAAGCATTTGTTGCGGCCATGGGGCCATAGGAATTTATGGCTCGTTGTTTTGCGACGCTTTCGGTATTTTAACGGAAGTTTGCTCTTGGCGACATCTATGGATCGAATCAGAAGTGCGATGCGAGAGGTCGCTTGGCTTCGGAAACAGAACATGAGTCCCTGTCATGGGATTCGAGTCAGCTACCGCTAGAGCAAAAAAGCTCTTGTGCACTAGATTCAAGAATTCCGAATTTTTCAAATTTGCGAGCGTTGAGTGGCTCCGCCGGCATTGTACTTCGAAAAAATTTCTGTCATATCTTGTTCAAGTTGAAAGCAGCATGTGATAGCATAGCGTTGCTCGAAGTTGAAGTGACTTATTTTCAAAACGCACTAGAAAAGAACAGTTAAAAAATCCTGCAGACAGCTATGTCACTGTGCGTACCTATACTGATTGTGTATCGACTCATCCAAATGGGAAGTCCACAGTGTTGCCAAATCGAAAGCTACATTTCCACTTTGGTTACTTTATTTACACACCTCGTATGCGTTAGAATTTAAAATTTCTTCAGTCCAATTAGCTTTTCTTATTACAGCATTTCTCATTAACACTATATTTTTCCTGCTTGCAGACAATATCGTCCAATAAGCAAGTGGCTAAGAACGCTAAAATCCAGTATTTTGACTCGAGTTCGAATCTTGGTAAACATATTTTTATGGTTTTCTCCATATGTAGCGTAACTGAGAATTTCCCTTTTAATATCCTCCACTGTAGTCTATTACTTTAAAATAATCACTTCAAGCCTTTCCCTTCCTCCTCCATTTGCCACGGTAACATGTGTCGTCATCACCGAACAGCACATATTTCCTTCACCTAATCTGAGACCACTGTTCTTCTAAAGGATCAGCTCCTGTCACTATATCGTAAAAGGCAAATTTACACCACAGTCATCCAGCCTATTCTTACATACGCCTCGCTTACCTGGCCAAGCGCCAGCAAAAGTGACATCTATTCCCCTACAAAAAATTCAAAACAAGATTTTCAGGATAATCACCGGAGCTCCATGCTACGTTAGAAACAAAAATCTGCATGCTGACATGAAAGTGGAACTTAATTCTGATTTGCACAGAATAAATGCTAAATTTTATGATAAAGCTACGCAGAACACGTCCGTCAGCTTTGCAGATATTTTCGCTTACGAAATACTTGAAGAAGACAGGAATAATAGGCCATTTGCAGCTTTTCCTCTTAGATAGCGCAAATACGCAGAAACAAGATCAACATGTGTAACTTTCGTATTAATTTTATTGCAACTTTCGGATTTAAAAACTTTCAGTAGTTCAAAGAGTCATAGGACTGCCGCCACACCCCTGATAGGACAATGCTAGTCTTCTGTCATCGCATCCTCACCCTCCAGTGAGATTTCAGAGACAATGCGTCTCATTGTTTTCTTAGTTTTACTATATTTTTATCTTAAGGTACATACCTTCATGGTGGAGCAATTTGATGAGCCCTTTTGTGTGAGGCCCCTCGTGGGATTTTCTGATAAGCTCGGTAAGAGCAGAATTAATTCCCGCTGTAAACCAGAATATGCAACCAAAGCATCAAAGACCGCTGTTCATGTCAGACTTCATTTGTACACTTTCTACGAAATGAAACACGCTAAAGAGAAATGAAGTGCGAATAAAGCAATTAGGGGACACGACCATCTGCTGAAGCTGCCGCTGCCATGGTTCCGAGATAAGCCGGGGAAGAATGACTCTGAATTGCCTATTTTAAAGTAATAGACAATTAGGCTTTCCTTCCCTAATGCAAATAACCCTCTTTTGCTTTGCGTGTTTCAAATAAACTGAGAGTCATCACTTTTCGGATGACTTAACTATGACATGTTTTGTTAGTTTCTATTTAGCCGACATTTCAACTAATTTGATTTCGTATTGTCTGACTTTTCAGTGCAATGTGTTTAAAAACGAGTTTTGAATTTTAATTATATTTGGCTCTTCAGCTAGACTAGATTGAACCAAATTAAATCTTTAGCCCTTTCCTAAACAATTATAAATCAATTTTTTAATTTGTTGTGCGCTTCTTTTCAGCTAGGTATTGCCTTAGGATTTGTTCTTCCACCTCTAATTGTTCCCAATTCGCCGAACAAAGATGATGTTACGAAAGGTCTGAGTATTCTGTTTTACTCTGTAGCAGTCATAACTACCGTCCTGTTCGTGGCGATTATTTTCCGTAAGTAAGGTACTTTTTTCAAGTGTTCTTGGCAGTTGCTATAATAAAAATTTCCTAATGAACTCTAAATGAGTATACTTTAAATATTAATAATTTATTTTCTGTTCTGAGCTTCGAAATTAAATTTAGAATTTTAGATTTTAGTCAAATTTTGTTAAACTAATGAATGTTATATTGGCACAATAATATCTTTTAGTTTTAAGCGGTTTATATATGCAACTTCTAGAGCGCATACTCGAGGAAGCAAAAATTTCTCGAAATTCAAATTCCACAATTTTAAACTCAAAAATCCATTTTTTTTAATTCATGAAATTTAACTTTTTGGCATGCTCCCGCGGTCTCTTTACTAGTGTTTAGGAAAATTTTATTTTCATCATATAAAAAAATAAATTACATGGAGTTTGACTACTGTACAGCAAAAACAAACTGAAAATTTTAATTCTGAAATTTAGGGTTATTTCCGCCATTTTTAAATTACCTTGAGGGCGTTAATATATAAATTATAATAATTTGAGGTTGATATTTTTCTCTTAAGTAACATTAATTCATATTTTACGATTTACAGGTGTGTAACGTTATAATTTATGATTTTGTTATAAATGGTATACAGAAAGGCTTTTCATGTAAGTAATTTATAAGTTTTCAAACGGTAAAAATTTCATTAATATTCTGGTGATTTATTTCTTTAGAATCATAATCACGCGAAAATTCATTAATCTAGAAATATTCTTAATTTATGTATATGACTTTACGAGATGGCTACATGCCAATATTGGAACCTGCTAGTATTTTCTAGAACAATAATTACATAAGATTCTGTGAGTAATAGCGTAGTTTTGGGAAAAAAAAAATCACGATAATTCTCATAGAAATAGTCGTTGCTTAATCTATCAACATCAGAAAACTTGTTTTAAACTGACATTTTATTTTTAGTTATTTAAATATTTCACTCTTCAGTTTCTGTATGGCCCCTGAATATAATATCCAATTTTAAAATGAAATAGCCTAGTCTAGTCTTACGGGAATTATTTTTTGTACTTTTTATGGAGTTTAAAATTTTTCTTGATATTAAGTGTAGAGATAGGGGAACCTTAAAAACTTAAATTTCGTAACTTTTATAGAATTGATATTTTAATATTGAAAAATGTCAAAATAATATTTGCTTCATTTAAAACAAATTTACAATTAGAAATAAGTCTGTAACCATCGGTTTCAAAAATAGAGACCAGGAGAGAACTATTGTGGACACGGCGTATACTTTTTTATGCAGTTGTCATTCACTACAATGCAACGTAACAGTATTTTTTGCTTTCTCCTTAAATGTGTTTGTAGATGGTATCAAAAATGGCTATATTTTCTGTTTACAATACGCATTATTACTTTAAATTCAATGATGTAATAAATTTAGCATAAAATTTGCCTTTGTTGTTATTCATATTTTATGCAAAGCTAGTTTTGCTTAATACTCTCAAACTGTTGATGTCAATTATAGGCCCAAATATCATCTACATTATAAAGCACTCATGTTTATAAAGATTAGGAAAATATTAGCACTTCTTCAATCCATGCTATTGCAAGTTTTTCATTTTTTGAAACATTCTTTCATTCTAGTATTTAAAGAAAAGCCTCCATTTCCACCCAGTCGAGCTCAGGCAGCTATTGTAAACTGCAATTCAAGAACTGGATATTGGTCTTCCATTTTGCGACTTATCAAAAATGTACATTATTTGCTCTTGCTCACAACATACGGTAAGTTCTTTTCTTTCCCAAAATCAACGTCAAAAATTTCTTATAAAATTAAAAATAGCATATTGTCAAAAGTTAGATTTTCATCTGTGAAATTGTTCAGAACATGAGTTTTTAAAATTGATAAATTTTGAGCTTTGTATATGAAAATTTATAATCAAATACGATAAATATGCAGATGTTACATCGGAATCTGTCTGAATGCCTCACATTTGTGAACTTTCGATAAAAGGTTCTGTATTAAAAATGGTCTCATTTGCCTCAGCATTAGAGTTTCTATTTTCGCGCAGATAGGATTCTACCTCAGAGCATGCAAATTCTTTTCATCGATCAAAACGATCACTATGATATGCGAATCCAGACTGTAAAATGTTCCAAAAAAAATCGCAGCATAAATTGAAATTAATCTAGCTGAAGTTTCTTTGTTAATCATTATCAAATAAACATAGCGACGAACTGAGGAATTACAGCTTGAGTACCTTTCAGAGAAGCATCATCACTATCTTGTATGCATAAACGAGATTTTGATCAAGTAGATATAGATTAGCTTACCTTAATCTTTCTGAAAGATGATCAAGCTCATAAATTGACTTGCTCAAATTTACCATACTGGTACTTACGTATTAACGCAACCAGGCCAAAATTCGCATAAATTGCGAAATTTGGCGACCCTACTTACGGCAACCCTACTTATGGCAACCCTACGTGTTATACGTAGTTTTGTAAAAAGAGCATGTGGAGATTCACAAAATTTTCCTGCATTTTCGTGCAAATTTTTTGTAATTTATGAGAAAATAGCAGTGTACATGGATAAAGTCAAGAGTGTGCGCAATGCCATTTTTGTGCAATTCTGGGATGTTTCTTTAAGTAAAAATAAGTCGACGTGTACATGGTTATGGCGAATACGGTTTTCAATCAGTGCTAAAAGCAATAGCCAAAAGATTTCTGCCGAAAAAATAATTCTGCAACTTATTCAAATTCGAAACCGGAAGGGTTTAATTGCTATTTTATATTTTAAAACAAAATAATATAAAAAACTGTATTAAAAATTATCTGTAATTAATAAATGTACATTTTCTTTCTATTCATACTTTTTTTACTCAAACTTACAAATAGCGCCAACCTGGTTGCGATAATACGTAAGTACCAAAATACTTTGTGCAGATTAAGTTCAGCAAGATTTTCGCATGTAACTCAATTTAAGGATATGAGCAGTTCTTAAAAGAACCTTCGTTCAACAGTTCTCCAGAAACGCATTTACTGTATGATGAAACTGACGTAGGGTATTCTAAATTGTATTTATAATATTCGTAGATGAAAAATGTACTCATTTATGATTGACTGGCTACCTCGGTGACTATCAAAACATATATGTGCTTTATTAAAAGCACTTGTTTCCCGACTCTCCATCTTGCTTCTTCATCTCTCATATTGTTCATTTATTTATATAAATTGCATGATTATTGCAATAATCTACTTATAATTTCTGAAGTCACCTAACAATAATTTTCGTGTATACATTTTTTTTTTTTTTTTTTTAGTTTTGAATTCAAATTTTTTTGCATGCTTTTCGTATTCGCAAAATACAAAAATTAACTCATTTTTGAATAATAAAATTCAAGAGACTGATCAGTGTATAATTATCAAATATTCATTGTATCGGCATTAAAATTAATTTTGTTGTTAAGTATGGGAAAATTTTATCTGATAACTAGAAAAGAAAGATGGCTAAAATCAAAGAATCGGGATAGCGTGAATGCGCATTTTTTTCTCACTGAAAGAACATCAATTCAAAACAATGAGACGACAGGCCTTATTCATGGTAATTGTCTGAAATTTAAAAAAAAAAAAAAAAGGCCATTTAATTTTTTAAGTCAGTTGCTATTTTAGCTGCTTCATTGTCCAACCGCAATTTGATGTAGTACATATTTTCGAACGCTACTTTTTCATTTTGCACCCTGGCGAGTAATAGTTACTAAAGTTAACCTTCGAAGGTATTACTTCCGTGAGAAATCCTTCAAGAAGCTGCAAGTCAACCTCTGTTTAAACAATTACAAAACTTTCGCAGAAGTTGACTCAGCGAAGATGCTAAGCTTGCTTTTTTCAGGAATCTAAGCAGTTGCGTAAGCAAAGTTCGTATTTTTAGCCTTTGAGAAGGGGAATCTTTCCAGGCAATTGCGTGGTCATTTGTTGATGAGAAAATTGTTTGTAGCAATAACAGCAAACTTACGCAAAATTTTGAAACTCGTCCTTGCGTGTAAAAAAAATTCCAAGGAAACTTTCAGATAGTCAAAGCTGAGACTGAGTGTTAGGGGCTAGAGGTGTTTTTAGAATAGAATCAAAACGGCAAAGTCGGTTCTTACAAATTTTTTAGCACACACTCTGCTTCAATTTATTTATTTACTTTTTTAAGCAATGCAGGATTCAATTGTCTTTCACCTTACGTAATTTAAGCTATAGACTTCTAGTTATTTATGAGTGCTCCCTTTTGAGATATTTAAACTTCAAGCGTTTTAAAGAATGTATAGATACTAACTAATATGCAGAATGAATTATTACATTCTTATAACTGCATAATTTATAGTTACGTGACTCCAAAAACAAAAGCTTTTTTTGTTGAGAAATTTTTACAATAATCCTATTTTCCCATAATTTTTCCATATACAGAATACCACAAAAACTGGATTTATATTTCTGTTGTTTAAAATTATACATATCACCATCATAGCGGAGTCGCGAAACTGAATGGTATAATATGTATGACTAATAGCATTTGAATAAAAATTACCCATTCGGAAGTGCCAAAAACAAAACATTACTTATTCAAAATAGCTTTCCATTTTCTAATACCGCTTATAACAATTCATACATAGATTAAATTTTGAAGTTTTTCTTCTGGACGTAATAAAAATATTACTGAATAAAAATTAGCTGAAATTTTAAAATTCGGCCTATATTTTTAAGAGCTTCATTAACTTAAATGAACAAAAAATTAAAACTCGTTATTTCCACTAGTCTTCAGAAAATGCTACCAAATCCACTTCTTCGAAAGGCTACATTGATCGGTCTTAAATTTAATGGTTTAAACATCAGCTGTGCGACAGTGATTTAGAAAGCTTGTGAGATGGAAACACACGAGAGTTAAAACAAAACATTAGAGTAAAAGTAAAACTTTGGCGAGTTAGAAAGTGATTAATTTATAATCTGGTTTGTTTTATACCTATTGAATGAAAATCTAATGTGGAGATCTTTCGAAAGGCATGTGGCCGGAACACACGTTTCTGTGACATGCTCGTTCCCGTGTTATGCGAAGGAAAACAATAAGCATTTCTGTAGAATTTTATTCTTTCGTTTAGTAGTAAACTAACACATCCAGAAATATTAACTGTTTACTTAGGTTACTCATTATATCGACATTCAACTGCTCTTACATTGCAAATCAGAAATTTTCAGCAATTTACGAAAAATATTAATTTTCTTACAAATGCCGTAATAAATTTATTTCAGTATCATAAAATTCATTTGCTTGAAAATTATATTGGAAATTTACTTTATTTCTTAAGCTAACTGCAGAAAATTGCAAAAAATTGTGCACTAAAGGAGATAATTTGGCAACCATTAGGCATTTTGTTTTAGGGGACGACTATCACCAGTCCTCTGAACAGCTGTACTGGTCATTCTGAAAGACTTCCAACCCGCGATACTATTCTAGGTGAAAACCAAATTTGTTGAAAACATTTCTTCCGAATTTCCAATTATTACTTATTTTCCTCAACACCACCAAAATGTGTACCCTGTAGCCATTCAGTTCGCATTATGAAACGAATTTCATTAACATGTGTAATGATCGCGCTCACAGTTAGTAAATCTCGGCAGGATAAATGACCTTCTTAGAAACTGGATTTGCACCAGGTTCCTGCTGAAACTCAACATTTAAGCAAATTGCTAAACCTGTTTTATTTAATTTTTGGGTCCTAAACATAAAAAGTTGTACTCTTGTTAAGTTTTGCAGCGTCCTATACAATAAAGTAAATAGAAAAATCTAGTGTAAACAAATCAATTCTCATTCGGAAGCCCAGAAAGTCATTGAATTTGATTTTCCAATAAAAAATTGGTCTTCCTTCACATCAAAAATCATATACTGTGTTCCTCGAGCCTCAAGATATTTAGTTTAAAATATTATATAATGAATAGTTTCTTTAGTAATTATGGGAAAACTTCGAAGTAAGCTTAAATTTGAAATAGCCAGATAGCAGCCTCAGGGGCTGATGCATTATATAACTGTGATTCATTTTTCAAAATTTAAGATTCTTTGGTTAAAGTACTAATGTTGATTAGGATTGTGAGTAGTTTACTAGTACTAACAGTTTACACAGTAAATGCGGATTTTAAACGCGTTTGGCTCGGAACCAATGTTGATATGTTTCCTATTCAGCGGCTGTTTGGATGTATTGGGTATAAATAGTAGATACTGTTTGTGAATGCTAGAATAAAAATGTAAAACTGTTCAATTGTAAAATAGCCAGAAATAAAATTAGAAAAGTCGAAAACATTTTGTAGCATACATGAAGTCAATTTTCGCCTGTGTTTAGAGCATTTCAATAAACTAAAGAAGTGTAAACGTACCTTTTTCTTTATATGAATTATCAAGTCTATAAGTTTCCCATTTTCGGTCCTAAAGGACTAATACTAACTAGACAAAAATTACAATGTCAGTCCCCTACGGACTACTACCGGCCAACCAGAAAGTTCGATGTCGGTCCCCAGGAACCGACTCCGCGCGAAATGTATTAAATGTGTTGAATTTAACGTTGTGTAAACTTAATGTGTTGAATTCATTAAGATCGCATACAACTGCTTTGCATTTAACAGCTATATTTCACACGAATGATGATGCGCGATAGTTTTTGTATTAAATACACATACGTCTCTAAAATTACCTGCTCTAGTCTGCCATCCTAGGCTGCGGTATAGCAGATATTATGATTCACTTCGCTAAGATA